GTATTGAAAAAATAAAAAAGGCAGGGAGTGGGATGGAATGAGGGTGATCAAAATGAAAAAAAAATCTGATTTTTTGAAAGGTGTTAGGTTTGGATGTATCTTTCTCACAATTATAGGTTTGAGGGTAGTAAATGAAGATAAGGAATTTGGAGGGGCAGGTCAAGTGAGGGAAGAGCTATTGAGTGGGAATACAAGACATTTTTATGGGGACCAGAGGTTGGCATAATGGCTCTCGCTGGACTGTGACTCAAGTCTCGGACTGCGATTCAAGTCTCGGACTGATGTTCAAGTCTAGGACCTAGTGGCATTTTTAAACACATGTAGGACGCATGGGTGTGCGTGTGCGCCCAAGATCTCAAGAGGAGAATGGAAAAGGGATTACGGAGTGGCCATCCTCGCTAGGGGATGATTTGCTGTCTTGGGGAGTGCACGCCCTATAGCAAAAACCTCTCCAAAAACAAAAACATTTTTAAGCGTTCTGAATGAGGATTAGACAGGTTTAGGTCATAGGGTAAGTTTGCCCCAACCCTGCAAACAGGGGAACCCACCCCTACAAAATATTTATATCTTATTTTCCAGTATATATTTGCACATAGAACCACTTGACTCAAGACTACACCTAATTTTAAACAGAAGTCTCTTAACTACCTGAACTTTTGTCTCCAGGTATTAGATCAGATTTCTTTGACTAAAGTGCTACGGTCTGCTTGGGCAAATGATATCCATACCAATACAAACTCCAGTAATGTTTTCTCATCACTTTGTTAGTGACTGGATTGTCTAAAACAAGTTTTTTGCCCCCAAACCACTGCATCCTAATGACTAGGATTGTTCTTACATAGCTTTAGCAACAAAATGTATTTGATGAATTAATGGAAAGGTAGGCAAACGTTTGATTCTTACTGCATACCATCATTACAATGGCCCTCCAACTCTAAAAATAACCTGGGGAACTTATTAAACATGCAGGTACCTCTAGAGACTAAGCTTGTCCACAACTTGACTAGCATCCTTGATTCTGAAGGTGGTCCTAGAGCAATGAAATAGTGCAGTGTACTGCCATATTACCTGCTAAAGTTCTATGCTACCGGGGCTGGCAGGTGGAGTGGTGGTGAAGGGGACTGGACTCCTACACTGCTGACGAGGGTTTGATACCTGGACCTGGTGGCCTGCTTTCTCACTTTCCCTCTCTGGTCAAATATAAATAGCTAAATAAAAAAAAAATTTTTAAAAAGTTCACTACCGAGAAGTTTGGCCAATTTCACTTCAAATTTGAGAATGGAATGATAAATAGAAATTTTTAAATATTTGTTCTTTCACCTCTCCACCAAAAGTTACTTTTGATGGTACAAAACAATGGATAAAATGTTTTTCACTAGTCTAAAATTTCAAATGGTTTAAGAAAATTTAACATAAAGGCCTCTTTACCTAGGTCCAATATTAGGTAATACCATACTTAACACTTTGTTAAGTATTTCATTTTATGTAGTACAAATAGACAAACCATTTATAGTTTTTTCAAGTTTGATTTCCTGATTTATGTATTCCAGTGGTTATCAGTTGTCAAAGATTTTCTTTTCCATTATAATCCCAGGACAAAGTTAACAGATCAAAGGCAAACTACTAAAATTTGAATAGCAGCAAATTTATTTTCTTCTGGTTCTGAACTCTTGGAAAGTCTTTGTAGTCTGCTTTCCAAACTGTTGACATCCTAGTAATACTTAAAAATTATGCTCACTTTTGAAACTACATTTCTCAATAGTTTAATTGCACTAGTTACTCTAATAAAACTGGCTTATGTTCAATTCCACTAATACTTCTTTAAGAGAAATTTCTGTTCTAAGGGTGCGTTGCTCTTGCCAGAGGCAGAAAGCAGGAAATCATCCCTGGGGTGGGGAGGGAGAATGGCCACCAATCTGTTCTCCATTCTTTCAGGATTTGGGGCACGCATGCTCATGTGCCTGGCCTTAGTTTTAAACCACCAGGTGTGGGGCTCAAGCTGCAGTTAACTATGTGGGAGTCCAGTGATGTCACCATCACACACAGGGGATCTTGGGCACATACAGGCTCCAGCATCTAAGTTTAAGTTGCCAGGTCCAAGACTCAAACCACAGTCGACTGCATGGGAGTCCAGCCAGCAACGTAACCATTAGGCCATCAGCTGGTCCCAGGTCTGAATTATTTTAAAAGGATAAACTGAGGAACCAGCAGGTGGTGTGGTGGTTAAGGCACTAGATACTCCCATAAGGCTGACCACCATTTGAGTTCTGGACATATTAAAATAAATGAATAAATAAAATTAAATAATTATTAAAAAAAGAAACAGGCAAAATACAAAAACATTTCCAGCTAATAATCCATGTAACTCTTAAAACTACCAGTAGGTGGTTCTCTCCAGGGAGGCTTTCCTCCTTCAGGAATAACAATTTGACTAAAATGTCATTATTGGTAATTTTTCTCTAGGGAAAGGACTCATTTCACCCTGAGAAAGCCCAACTCACCCATACTTAAAATACCCAAGAGAGGGGCTAAGTTAACACCCATGTGGCAATTCAGTGTAATTTCACCTTGGGGAAAACTATCACAAGTAACATTCACTAGTTTTTAAGTGGTATTTTTAAACATTTGTTGTATTTCACATGCTATGAACCAAGAACACTCAAACCCCCTTCTCTGAACTAAGAGGGAGCTGATGAAAGTGTATTTGCACATTCTACAACCTGCCTGGCTCATTCTTTTATGAAAACACCAGTCTTCCTAAATTTAAACAAGGGAAATGACAAGACTCCTCTTTCAGTTGTTAATCTACTCTCAAGTTTTCTGAACACTTGAGAGTGGTTAAGGCACTCTTGTGAACATGAGGTACACACTGTATTCTGCAGTTACTTCCTTCCAATATACTCAAACATCAAACCAGACCTATTACAAGAAAGCTAAGAAACTCAACTCACAGGTGATATAAACACTACAGAATTGGAAAAGTACTAGATTCTTTGTGCTATACTACACTTTTAAGAAATTAAGAGTCCCAACTACTGGAATTTAGCATCTTTCATCCCTACTTAATTTTGTTCATAAACGCTAGAAACACAATTCACACAAAAATTATACAATTTAAGATTACTGTATTTCCTTGTAAGAGGAATGGTTCAACAAGTCTTACAGGTCAATCAACCCTTGTTCAAATTGGGAACACATTGAATCTAGAATCATGGGAGTTTTATTTATTTGGAAGTGAATTTTTAACTACCAATACAAATGCCAAGATACTACACAAAACATCCACAGGAACTTTTCATCCTTTTTGATCTGTACAAACATTTCCTACATATTCCCACAAACAACAAAAATGATACATCTTTTTCTTTCGATTTGCATACAATGGAAAACAAGAATATATATATATATTTTTTACAAAGTTTAACTAATAGATACCAAGCAAGTTGACAGCTTAAGTGTATAGGTGAGAAATTACCTAGTAAAAATAATAAAAATTTATTCAACATCAGTCACTTCCATAATAACCAAGTGCTATTCTGATTAATAAAACCTTGCTGCCAATAAGGCTGCTGGTGCTGCTGGTATGTTACTTAAACCATTATTCAATTTGTAGCATTGCTCCCCACCTTGGCGCTTCATAACCAACAGAAAACTGTTGGAAAGTAGGGGCAAGTATTTGCAAAAAACAAAACCCACTCAGCTTATTGTATGCACAAATGTGTATGATGTAAATTCCCCCCAAAGCAATGGACTTTCAAACCATAGAGAAACCACCAAAATTGAATTTCTCAAGATTATTTTGTCTAATGTCCAAGAGATGTACTTATATCCAACAGAGGAGTCGAAACTCAAACTTAGTGTTTAGTTTGGGGGTGGACTGCAAATTTTAGCCACCACTGGAAAAATGACTATCTTAAAAAAAAAAAAAAGCCCACCAAAAATAGGTTCACTAAATTTATTTTAAAAATCATAAAACGTTTCTTACAAAAGAGCATTACATTCTGCACACTGCTCTGAACATATGCCAGGGACATGTGGACTATTGTTACTTTTCCTCCCTGTCCCACCCCCCAAATGTTACAGTGACCACAAAGCAAGGTGTTCACAATAATTACATGGGGGGATTTTTCTTTTTAACCACCAACAATGAACAAAAATAAAATTCACTCACTCTGCTGCTGTTTCAAAATTTCAATTTGCACACCCTTCCCCTTCCCTCAACCCGGTTTATAAGGAACTAAAACATTACATCTGGTGAACAGCAAAGATTTCACTACACCTCAAATGCAGAACACCTATGAAGCAGAGGAATGTTGGCTTTTTAAACAGAAGCAGATAAAAAAAAAAAAGATGCAGGACTCCTTCAGTTCTTCACTAGTCTTAGAAAAACTTTCCAGAATACTGCTTCACACTATAAAAAAGAAAAAATATCTTGCATTAGAATCCTTCAACATCTGCATACTGCTTCACACTATAAAAGAAAAGAAAAAAAAAGTGCGAATTAGAATTTTTGTTCGTAACATCTTAATCAACATTAAGACATTTTAATGCTAAATTAAAATGTTATGTCCATTACAACTAGAAATAAGATTTTTAAAAACTTGCAAAATTACAAAGTAAAACAATGTAAAATTCAAGAAAAATGATTAATAGTAAACCAGACATTAGTAGGATGGAATTAAGAAAATAAAATTCAGAGTTGTTAATATTTGGTAGAAAAGACAAAGAAAGGCCAGTAAGGTGTGAAATGCTGCATTTTACAGCACCAATCATTTGTCCTGTAGAGGCATGGCCTGTGCCATATGGCAGACTGTGATTTGTTGTCGATTTAGTTATCTAAAAACAACAAAATCACTAGTCTTCCACACAGAACAAGGCCAACATCCACTGAATCTTCTATATTTTCTACAGGCTCTGTATAATTTATAACAAGTAGTTTTGGCAGCAGTTTTCACCAGAGAAATGAGAAGTTTGCTTGGTTAAGGCTTCTTCCAGCAAGATTAGTATTGAATGTCTTCATTTTTAGTAAGAAAGCAGAAGAAAATCAAGGCAAAGCTATTAGAATGTTTAGAAGTTAGGTCCCCAAAAGGTTGAGACCCATAATCATAGGTTTCATCATAAAAATTGGGATCATAAGGCTGTGCACGTCCTTTGATAGGAGACTCAGATATAAGATCAAGGATGATCTTTATACACTCTACAACTCTATCAAGCTTTGCTCCAATAAGAACGACTCTCTCAGCAGAATGAGGACAGCATTCCTGGAAAAGCTTGATTGTTGTCTGAGTGTTCCCTTGAAGCTCTTTGATTTTAGCACTTTTTTCTTTATTATTATTATTATTTATGCATTCAATTGCTATATATCATTTAGATTTTAAAGAGGCTTTACCTGGTTTATAGTGTTGGTACTCTTCCAAGGTAGGGATGATTTTCTTCAGAATTTCTCCAATTGTTTCAATATCAGCACTGATACTCAATATGCGCTCGGGGCCACTGCTGTCTGGGACTGAAACACTGGCATTGTATTCTGTTCGCAGAGTCTTAATATTCTTGCCTCCTTTTCCAATCACTGCCCCAGCATTCTTGCTCTGAAGCAGAATGTGTAATTCAACCATCTCATCAGTGTCCCTAGATCTTCTAAATGCTTGCTCCTCTTCCATGTCTTCTGCTGGGCATTTACCAAATTCTCAGTGTTGGGGAAGGTTTCCTCTGGCTATTCGGTTTCCATTTTCTTGTATTAAAAGGACACACCAATCTGCGCGCGAGGCCACTGTCCCTTCGCCCTAAATGTGGACATTTTAAGACAGCTTATCCATGAAGATGTGATTCTGTCCATTAATTTTTGTCTTTTAAAATGTACTAATCTATGGGTCTGGGACATGAACCACGGTCATCCAAGTGAGTGTCTAACGATGTAACCATTACGTCTTCTGCTGGACCCAGTGTTAGTTCTTCTTTACTCTTTCGTAGAATTCACCAATGAAACCATCATACCTAAGACTTTTCTTTGTTGGAAATGTTTTGAATACTGACTAAATTCAGATTTAACTCAGTCATTATTGGTCTGTTCAGGTTTTTTGTTTCTTCATGATGCAATCTTGGTAGGTTGTATGTTTTATCCATTTCTTCTACGTTGTACTTCCAACAATTTTTTTTATGTATGAGCAGAAACTTCAAAAAGTTCATGGAAAGTATACATTATGAAACTTTATGCAATGCATAGAATTTTTTTGAGAGTTTTTTGATATAGGGTGCATGCTCTCACCAAAAAGACAGAGACAGAGAGACAGAAAGTGAGAAATCACTCCCCCAAGGGGATGGCCACTCTGCAATTCCTTGTCCTCCAGTCTCCTCTTGGGATCTTGGGCACACATGCACACATGCCCGGCGTGAGTTTAAGACACCAGGTCTGGGATTCAAACTGTGGTCTACTACATAGGAGTTCAGCAACGTAGCCATTATGCCAACTTCTGGTTTCTGATTTTAAAAACATTTTGCCCCAGAATAAATTCATGCTTTAATTCAGTTTTTCCATGAAATTTTTGAGATTCCCTTGCATAATTGTTTATAGTTATTTCATGATAACTTTTTTTTTATTGTGGCATCATTTATAATGTCTTTTCTCTCATTTATGATTTTATTTAATTGAATCTTCTCTCTCTTTTTTATTCTTTTTGAGAGGTTTTTGCTATAGAGCGTGTATACTCACCAGAAAGACAGAGAGAGAGAGAAAGAGAGAGAGAGAGAGAAAGAAATCACCTCCCAGGAGGGATGGTCACGCTGCAGTCCCCTCTCCTCCATTCTCCTCTTGGGATCTTAGGCATACACACATACACACCCAGCATGCGTTTAAGCCACCAGGTCTGGAACTCGAACTGCAGTTGACTACATGGGAGTCCAGCGACATAGCCATTATGCCAAAAGCTGGTCCATTTTCTCTTTTTTTTGTTCAAGTTAAGGATTTGCCAACTGTGATATTTATTAAAAACTCACTATTTATTTTAATATTTTCTATTTTATTTATTTATGCCCTAATCTTTATTTCTTTCTTTCTGCTAACTTTAGTTGTGGAAGCATTTTCTCTGCAAAAAGTTGTCAAAATGCTTGAAGAAGTAGTAGTTGGTTGGTGAGAATTCAGGTAAATATGGTGACTGAGGCAAAACTTCTCAGCCCAATCCATTCAACTTTTGAAGTGTTGGTTGTACAATGAGCTGTCAGGAGTGATCTTGGAGAGTGGGCCTCTTCTGTAGACTAAGGCGGGCTTCAGGCATTGCAGCTTTTGCTGCATCTCATGGATTTGATGAGCATACAGCTAAAAGGTATGGTTTTGGCAGGACTCAGAAAGCTGGAGTGGATCAGACCCCACCAAACAGTGAACAAGACCTTTTACTTCGGTATAAAATTGGCTTTGGGAAACTTTGTAGCTCCTTCTCAGTCCAATCACTGATCTGGGTGTTGCCAATTGTTCTATAAAAACTACTTGTCATCTCTTGTCACAATCCCATTGAGAAATGGTTTAGCTTCGTGTAGAATAATAATGCAGGAGTGCTGGGTAATCAGACTCAACATTCATGCTGGTTCTTGTCCAAAGCTCATGGGAGAATTAGAGACACAGACAAAAAGGAGAGTAAAGTGGAGATATTAGGGAAGGAGAAAAAGTTTCCAATGGGGTTTTTATCTAGCAGTCTGAGCAATGGGCTGGCTATCTGATAAGAAAGTCGGTTTTAGCAAATGGTTACAGGGTAGTCTGAGTGGTTTATTACCCTATTATTTGTGGAGTCAGCAAACCACAAGTTTTGTATTTCTTGTTAGAATACAGTCACTAAATAGAAACTGTTGCCCTTAGCAATAGTTACTTTCAATTCCAATACAGCCTGTGTTTTGACTGTGGAAATTTAGCCACTTATCACTCCATCCTGGCTTTATCCTATGTGCTCAAGATTCCTCTCTCCTGCTGTATTAACAAGGATTCATACATTCTTTAGAGACATGCAAAGGGGTTGTACATTAATCAGACCATACAGGAAAACCTTGGAGA